CTGTTCCCTAGGGCCTGCCTCGGTCCCTGGGGTCATCAGATGCTGTTGTGCTTCATCATCTGCCACGTAGCGGGGCGCGCAATGGTCGTTCCCCCCCCTTGGTAGCGTTAGAACGTCATGACGATCGTGCGTATGGGGGGCGGGGGGCTCTGAACCTCCGCCCCTACATGCCGGCGCTCGTGTGCAGAATACCTTTCGGGCGGGCGGCAATGGGGGGTGACTCACATGGGGGGTGGAAGAAACGTTTCTCAAGGAGCCCTTTAGGGCGCCTCTTGGAGCCAGTAGGTGCTCAACAGGGGCCCTAAAGGGCCCCTTTGGGGCTCTCGACTTCACCCCTAATTTGGGTCACCCCCCATTGCTGCCCGCCCATTGCCCCCCCCCCCTGGTAACGACCGGTAGTGGAAGTAAGACAAGAAATACTGAGGCAAACACAAACATGAAAAACCTCCCAGGATTTCAGAAGAGATAGGAGTACCGATGCCGCTGCCCTTGCCTCGTCACTGTGGCCACATTCGCTTCGAAATTTTGGTTAGAACGCACCCCCGGAGAGGTCCGGGGAGTAGCGGTGTGTATCGGTACCTCCTTTGTGACGCAGCCCAGCGCTGGGGCTGCTTGTGTCACCCCCTCCCCTCTCCTCCTCCCCCTCCCCTCCACCTCCTCTTTCGCCAAAAGGCTCGCTTGCGCTGGTGGAACGCGTGTCGGTACCTCGTTGTCCTCCCGGGATGGGTGTGTACATGCCTCCCTGGCCAGGCCAGGAGGGTGCAGGGCACACGCGCGGCCGGGGTCGGCGAGGCCGGGCAGCCGACGTCCCCCGCGCAAGGAGGAGGAGCGGGCGTGGTGGCTGCTGGGCCTGCCGAAGGCCCCTGGGTGCCAAAGGCGGCACGTTCGCCACGAGGCCTCGGGCAGGAAGGCTGTGCGCAGGGCAGCTTCGGCCTGGGCAGTCCGCCCCCCGCTCTCGGGCCTGCGCTGGCCTGCCCCGCAGGCTCGAGAGCGGGGCCGCAAGGCAGCTGCAATACATCGCGGCCTTCTTTCCCGAAGACCGTGGGTGCAAGCGTGAACCAGATCCCTCCTCCTCCTCCTACTCCATCTCCACCTCCTACTACCCTCCTCCTCCTCCTCCTCCTCCTCCTCCTCCTCCTCCTCCTCCTCCTCCTCCTCCTCCTCCTCCTCGGTGCAAGCGTGAGCCAGACCCCGCGCAGACCTCTTGGGGTTCGGCGCTGGGCCCCCGCATCCCCGCACCGCCCCGGCGAGACCCGCCGCAACCTGTGGGGGCCGTGGTGCCTCCCCTGCCCCGCCGGGGGGTCTCACCGGCCTCGGCACCCTGAGGAAGAGGTCGTCCACACGATGGGCTGCCCCGGGGAGGGTCAGGAACACGGCTCGCCCCCCCCCCCCCCTCCCCCAGGGAGTGCCTGGTGGATCGACGCGCGCAGCGCCTTTGGGGCGACGTCAGATGCGCCGCCCGGGATGTGGGATGGGGTCTCCAGCGCCGACCCCGGAACTCCAGGCCTGGTCGATGGGGTCGGAGGATCCCGTCGCAGCGCCGGTGCATCGGCGATGCGGCTCGATGTGGAGTCCGAGTTTCTCCACGCCAACGTCGCCGATGCACAGCCGATGCCTCGCCGAGGCATCCTCGAGGCATCGTCGACGCACCGCGATGCGGCGCGATCCTCCGACCCCATCTGGGAGGCCTCTGAGAGAACTTCGCGCGGACGATGGAGGAGGAGGAGGGTAAAAAACGTGAACAGAGCAACGATGAGAGGAGGAGGAGAGGATGAGGAGGAGGACGAATGAGGCGGAGAGGAAAGGATTGAGGATGAAGGAGGCGGAAAAGGGGAAAGGGGAGATGAGAGGAGGAGGAGGAGGTGCGAGGAGTGATATGAGGAGACATTCGGAGGCGGAGTAGGATGCGTAGTATAGGAGAGGGCGGCAGCGGAGGAGTGACAGACGAGCCGAGTAGGAGGGGGCGGAGGAGGAGGATGAGGAGAGGAGTGAGGATGCGGAGGAGGCGGCGGCGGCAGGAGGAGGAGGAGGAGGAGGAGGAGGAGGAAGAGGAGGAGGAGGAGGAACGTGTATCTTTCCGCCGCCTTCTGGCCTTCTGACAGGTTCAGGAAGAAGGAAGTGCGGGGCGTCCGTGGCTTCTCGGTGCGGCCTCGGCCGCGATCTGCATCTATGCAGGGGGCTTGCGCACGCCCGACCGCAGGTCCCCCACGGGAAAGTGAAAGTCCGAGGTTGAGGCGCTTTCGGGTTCAGTCGGGCATGTCCCTCTAGAACAGGAGGAGTATTCAAGAATCGTAGAAAGGTAGTCTGACTTTGAGCAGTTCTAAGCCATTTCCCATGTCTTCCCAATATCCGCCCGTAGGAGGACATGCCCGACCTAAGTATGGGGCCTCCTGCGGCCGTGGAACTGCCATGCTGGCCTCTCGGAGGCGTTTCGGGGCGTCTTTGGGGGCATCGTGAGCCCCCGCCGGCGCGGGCGCCTTCGGGCCCGCGCTGGTGCAACCTGGGCTCTCTTGCGCGCTTCTCGGAAAGCTCTTCGGGGCTTTGGGAGGGCTTCGGGGGAGTACCCCGGAGCCTCTTCTGTGCCTCTCGGAGGCTCCTGGAGGCCTCTCAGGAGAGCCTCGGGGGTCTCTGGGGGGCTCCTGGAGGCATCTCGGGGGGGGGAAGGCTCGACATGTCAGTTTGTAGTTCCCCCGTGGGGCACCTCTTGGCGCTCTCTTGGGCCGTCTTGGGGCGGGCCATCGTTGAGCCCTGGTAGGCCGTCTTGGAACCCTCTCGGCGGCGCTGCGGGCTGTGTTGGGACCATCGTGGGGGCCCTTTGGGGGTGGTGTGCAGGCGAGCGCTAAACCTGAGCATGTTCTTGAGGATGGGGGCGATGTGTGCCTCTTGGGGCCTTCTCGGCGATCCTCTGGGAGCACTCTTGGACTGCCTTGGGGGCCCCGGGGGCCGACTTGAAGCTGTGCTGGACCGCGGTGGGGCCGTCTGGGGCCGTCTCGGGCTCTGTTGCGGCCAGGGTCTCCGAGCGCCCAGGAGGTGCGCTGTCGAGCTCGTGCTTTACCCCCTCTGGGGAAGGCGGGGGGGGGGCTTCAATTAGACGTCTGCGTCCGAGGGGGGAGGGGTGAACGGGGAGGGGGGAACGGAGGAGGAGGATGATGAGGAGGAGTAGGAGGAGGGGGAGGAGGAGGAGGAGGAGGAGGAGGAGAGGAGGAGGAGGAGGAGGAATGAAGGGGAGGAGGAGGAGGACACCCAAAGGTTCAACACGCTCTTTCACCCCCGCCAGGCGGGGGGTCGGCGGACTTCGTCTTCTTCTGGTGGCGGCAGCCCGAGGCTTGAGAGCTGGCCTCGCCGTGCTGGCCTCCCGAGCTGCCTGCCAGTTTGCGCGTGCCTCTTCACTCTACGTACGCATTTCCGGCCAGGAGGTGCGCTGGAACCACATCCCCTTTCTCCCCTCCTCTTCCCTTTCCTCCCTCCTCCCTCCTCCTCCTCCCTCCTTCTCCTCCTCCTCCTCCTCCTCTCCTCCTCCTCCTCCTCCTCCTCCTCCTTCCTTCCTTCCTTCCTTCCTTCCTTCCTTCCTTCCTTCCTTCCTTCCTTCCTTCCTTCCTTCCTTCTCCTCTTCCCCCACCTTGCCCTTTCCAACCGCGAGGGGCCACACCGCAGCGTGAACTGAGATGGGCTCTTGGCGTTGTTGTTACCATCGCGACCGCATTATGCTCCCTTCCTATTGTCCTCATCCTCGACGTCCTCAATCTTCTCCGTTCTCCTCCTCCTACTCGGCCTCCTCCTCGGCCTTGTTCTCATCCGAGGCCATTTTGTCTGACGCCAGGCTTGCCAGAATGTCTGCTCGAGTCTTGGCACAGCGAGGTGTGCCCACCAATGCCAGCCCGATCCAGCCCATCAGTGGCGCAAGTCACTGCTTGCAACGCGCTGCCGCTGGCCACGCTGAGCAGCATCACTGCGCAGCGAGCTCGAGGCACGGACAGTGTCCACGGCGTCGCCGAGAGCCAAGCTCCACGATCCTTCTGGAGCGCCTGTGAGCTCCTCAAGAGCCGGACTCGATGGCGTATAGCCCGTGGTCTCCCGTATGGTCTCTCACATGGTCTCCCGCGCGATATCCCGCATGGTGTCCAGTAAGGCTCGCCGTAGGGCCTCCCGTGTAGCCTCCCGTCAGCACGGTATAGTCTTCTCGTCATTCGCGCATCATGCATTCGGATGCAACTCCTGGGAGGTCAAATTCGGATTTTGTCCTGGTCCGAAATCCGGTTGACTCCCGCGTAATCCGGCTTAGTCCGAGGCCCACTCCGACGTAACAGCCCCCCAATGGGGCTTAATCCTCTGTAGTCCTTCCGACGCAAACCTCCCAGCAGTTGCCTCCTTACGTGCAGTCCAAGGTCGTCTGCCCACGGGGCGAGTGCTTGGATCGCTCTTGGGGCCCTTCTTTGGGAGCCTGGGCCCCTGGATCGGGACGACCGACATGGGTACGGAAAGGATGGGTACAAAGACGTCTGGTTCATTTTGAACAGGATTCGCTGTCGGCGTCGCCGCGGATTGTGTTCATTTGAGACAGAAGGCCGCCTGCCCAACAGCGGACGCTGTTGGTTCGGGACGACATTTGCTGTTGGGCATTGTGCCCATTGTTTCCGTGCCCATTTCGGGCGTCCAAACTGGAGCTTCCATTGGGAGGACTCGGGGGGCTGCCCGAGAGACTTCCGCAGGCCTCCGTGATCGCGCCGGCTGCGGCGCTCCGCATCGGGGGGGCACGGCCGCGAGACCCAGACCCCCTCGGGTCATGCAAGAGTCGTGACGGAAGGGTTCTCGTTATGCTCGGCCTCCTCCTACTCCTCCTCTTCTTCCTCCTCTTCTTCCTCTACCTCCTCTTCCTCCTCCTCCTCCTCCCTCCTCCCTCCTCCCTCCTCCCTCCTCCTCCTCCTCCTCCTCCTCCTCCTCCTCCTCCTCCTCCTCCTCCTCGGCCTCGGGGCCGCCAAAAAAGGACTCAGGATGAGCATCCGGTCCTGGGGGCGGGGTCGAGAGCTCTGGGGGCCGACGTTTTATGCCACAAATCATGGCGTCGGGGCGTCGGGGGTCTGGGGCGTGCGGCGCACGAGGGACGAGGAGGCCCCAATCCCAGACCCCCAATCCCAGAGGTCATGATTTTTTCATGACGTCGACCCCCAAAGATCTCGACCCATTCCCCGGGACCGGTTTTTCATCCTGAGTCGTTTTTGACGCTCCCGAGGCCCGGTGAGGGCCCCCTGAGGCCGAAAATTAAGGAAAAACCGCCCGTCATGATTTTTTTCTTTACTCGAGGGGGTCTGGGATTCAGGGCAGTGCAAGTCTCGACGGCGAGCCCGGGTTAGAATCGAGCAGGGGGCGGGCCTGATCTCGGAGGGCTCGGAGGCCCCCCGTGCCTTCCGAGGAGGCCCGCCGCCTGCTGAATGTGCCGTCTCCGATTTCCCCCCCTCGTCGGAGGGCACCAACTATACACCAACACCGATCCTGGCCCAGGATCACCCTGGGCCCAGGATCGGTGTATATGCCTTCTTGCGCAAGGCAGGAGGGCGTATACACCGATCCTGGGCCCAGGGTGATCCTGGCCAGGATCGGTGTTGGTGTATAGGTGGTGCCTTCCTACCTCGCTCGCCGCCGAGCGTCCTGGTCTGGTGGGGCCAGACAGGGCTAGCGTCAAGTCGGGCAGGTCCCTCTACGTGAGGAAAATCCAAAACATAATGAATAATTGTCAGGGGACGATTTCTCCATTATTCTTGGATCATGGTTGTTTCCTTCTTCTTCTTCTTATTATTATTATTCTCATCATTATTATTAGTATTATTCGTATTTTAATAATATTGGTATTATTATTAATAATACTATTATTATTAGTATTTTTATTTGAAGTAGTAGTAGTATTAGTAGTAGTAGTCGTCGTCGTCGTCGTCGTCGTCGTCGTCGTCGTCGTCGTCGTCGTCGTCGTCGTCGTAGTAGTAGTAGTAGTAGTAGTAGTAGTAGTAGTAGTAGTAGTAGTAGCATTATAATCATTATTGCTATTGTTATTGTTATTGATATTGCTATTGTTATTGATATTCTTTTTAATTATTAGTATCATTATTATTATTAGATCATCATTTGTCACCCGAAATCCGCCTGTAAGAGGACATGCCCGACCTGAGGCTAGCGTCGGCGGCGCGCCCAGGTGGGAAGGCAGAGGGATGCAGATGGAGGCGAGCCTTCCAGGAAGGCTCAGAAAAGGCTTCTGGTCTCATTGGGAGCTGTCTCAGCCTCCTCTCAAGACATGCTCGCGTCGTAACAAAAAATCTGGACAGAAGGCTTTCGTCATTTTCAGCCTCCAGGCGCCAACTGCCAGGACTCTGCACCGTCATGCAAAAAACGACTCGGGCTGACGAGCCGGCCCGCTTGGAAGGGTTCGGGACTTCCGGGCACCGCGCACTGAAGAAGTCAGGACGTCGCAAGTCTGGGTCCGAAGACACCAGGGGGACTCTCGGAAGTCTCGATGATCCTCAGGACGTGTGTTAGCCCACTGTGTGTCCACCCCGCTCAAACCCCAACCAGTCGATCATCACATCGCCTTCGTCGTAGTTAGTGGAGGGCCTCTGTGGGCAAACGCACGTCGGCGCTAACACACGCTCTGAGGATCATCGGAAGTCCCGAGGGCTTCTGCGAAGCCCGCCGCCCTCTGAGAAGGCAGGCGCCCCGCCCCCCCCGTCTCGGCGTGCCGCCGACGTCTCGGCGCTCCCTGGTGCAGACTGCTGCGCCCCGGCCGCGCGGAGGCGCTCGCTGCTGCGCAGCCCGCACCGTGCGGTCCTGGCCGCTGCGGGTGTGCCATATTATCAGGCGGTGGCGAAGCGCTCCGGCTCGCCTAGAGGCCCACCAAAGAGTGCTCCAAGAACCTTTTGTGATCTGTGCGACATGTTCTTAGAGCATTTCTGGCTGAGCTTGACCTGTTTCGTCACACCGGGCTTCTTTCCTAAGAACCTTGTTTGTGTTCTCAGAACAGTTCAGGGCTCTAAGAACATGTCGGGGTAGGCCTATAGAAATGCCGGGACGGTCGGCCCCTGCTCAAATATAATGCTCTCTTCCACGACTTGGCAGACCTGACGCGAGCGAACAAGACATGCATACGCCGAGGATGTTGATCAGTTCCGCAGGGCCACTGCCAGGAGAGCCCATCCGCTTCTCATTCGGCTCTCATTGCCCAGACGGTGAGCCCGGACCCCTCTTACGGTGGGGGCCCATGCCAAGAAACACCCTGCTTGCCTCCAGGGTGCCCTGTGATTTGTGGGTTTCGATGGTTTTTCTATGGAAGGCGTGGCGTCCTCACACCAAAAATCGATGGACGTCCTGTGGTCACAGGGTTGGGTTTCTTGTGTAAGGTTTCTTGCGGTCGGGCCTCCACGGTATGGGTGCAGGTGCAAGTGATGTCTCGGAGCCTCGAAGGCCATCAGGCGTGCACCGCTGACCGCTGACGAAGAAGCAGGCCCAAACATGCGACGCCCTGCTTGTTCAATTCGCGCGGTCCCTGCAAGTCCCGACCCCTTCCTTCCCCGGGGCCTGCTCTTCATCCTGAGTCGTTCCTGGACGGTGCCGGGGCCCGGCGAGGGCCCCCAGCAGCCGAAAATGGCGAGAAACTTCCCGTCTTGGCTTCTGGTTTACGACGCGCCCACGTCTGCACAGCCACAACTCAGCTCCAGGGCCTGCACCTCCGCCGTCGCCCGGAGGACACCGGCACGCCGCCCTCTCCTGGGGGCGCCGAGCTGACGACGATGCTCCAGCTGACCTCGGCGCTCCGAGGCGCGGCCCGCGCCGGACGGCCCGCGCCGGACTGCCGCGGGCCGTTCTTGTCGCTGGCTGCTGGAGGTTTTCTTCGCTCCCCGCATCCTGAGATCCGACGTCCCCTGAGGATCCGGATTCTTCAACGTCTTCAAGCAAGGCCTCTTTTGCCCAGATTCGAGCCTCCGGGGCCCTCACAGGTCGATCCGGCTCGAAAAATGGCACACAACGAGGGGCTCTAGGGCTCCAGTCGTGAATGCTGGCGACGTTGCAGTTTTTTTTAGAGACGTCGGATCCCAGGGTCTCGACAAGCAGGGAGCGCTTTCTGTCTCTCCCAGGGGCAGCGCTTGTTAGTTCCCTGGGCCAGGACGCCCTCCCCCGCTCCTCTCTGAGTAACGCTAACGATCGTACTGGAGGGGGGGGGCCTTGACCCCTAAAACAGGGCTAGGATCGGGATAAATCGCTCCAGAGCGTTCCGGAGCGCTCTCAGAGCGTTCCGGAACGCTCTGGAGCGGCCGCGGCGCCCAATACATCCCCCAAACCCGCCGATTCTCAGAGATTTCGAGTTATCCCGATCCGATTTTGTCCCGATCTTCGCGTCGTTTTAACCCCTCCCTGCATGCTGTGGTGCACACAGGAGGTTGGTGCGCCAGCGGCGCGCGCGGACGCACCCCGGCAGGTGCACGCCGCGGCCGCCATTACCGTTGCCGTCCCGCCCGGACTCCCCCCCCTGGGTAACGAGACCGTTGCCCGGGAGGAGCGGTCACTTTCGGGGGAGAAAAAGATACGGATACGTGTTGTCCCCCTTCGTTTTCGGCCTTTCCTGGTCCTCCTGGGGAATCCTCGTTGTCACCGCTGGATTCGCCTCGAAATTCTGGTCAGAACGCACCCCAAGAGAGGTCCGGGGACAACACGTATCCGTATCTTTCCGCCCCCCAACACTTGGCTCCCCGGGCCTTGAGATCCGACGATTCGGCAAAAGCATTGCCTTCGTGGACTCGTCGCTGGTGTGCACTGCGCAGCGTGCTGCCGGCACGGCCCTCCGCGGGGCCTCGGAGGCACATGGCTGCGGAGGTGCGGAAGCGGTGCTGCAAGCCCGCCTCCCCCGCCAGAAGGAGAATTCAGACGGATCCTTGCATTCAGACCGATCCTTACATGATGCTCAAATACTGGGGACAGACGAATTCTGCCCCCCTGCGCAGTGCCTATACGGAACATCGCACGTTGGATATGGCTACTGGATGCCATAGAAAACAAGGCACCCTAAAAACGATATCCCGCCATGTGTGCCTATACAGAAGTCACAAATCATTCCTGCCAGCCCAGACCTTGGGCAGACGCTCGCTGGCCCCCCCCAAACGTGGCAGTCAATATTTGGGGATGGATCGACTTTCTCCGAGCTCTGGGTATCAGTGAAAATGACACCCAAACCCTGCAAAAGAGAACGTTTATTTCTACGCATGTTGCTGCCTCTTGTTGGACATGTTGGCGATCGTATTTCGCCGGTGATCAGATTTAGAGCTACTTGCTATCTGGCCTGCAAGCCTCATATTGTAGCCCCGCGCTCTGAGTTTCGTGGTGAAAAGCATCAGCTGATTGACGAAGCCGACGTGCTTCGCGTCTGTCAGCATCAACTTGTGCAGCTCGTCTTTAACCAGCCTGGCGAAGATGAAGGGATGGTGTACGGAAGATGGGGGAATGTAGTCGTGAGCACTCCACATGTTTAGGATATGTTGTTGCATGCGCGGCTCTGTTTGGCCCTACAATTCGAAACGTCACGACTGGAGTCCTACAGACCCCATATTTCTGCGCCGCTTCCGAGCCGGATCGAACGAAAGCACCCCGCTCGATCAATTGAGACGCCAGGATCTCAGGGGGCCTGCTCGCGTCGTGTAAAGCTCGGGACGGGCGGTTTCTCAAACTTTTTGGGGCTCTGGGGGCCCTCGCCGTGCCCTTGGACCGTCAACGGGACGACTCGGGATTAAAAAGCTGGCCCTGGGGACTTCTGGGGGCCGCGTGCAGTCAACCCGCATCGTAGGGATGAGCGACGTTCTAAGGTTGCCCTTGCATCCTTATCCTTCCCCTTCGGCCCACCCTTGGCCGCTTTCGCTGGCAGCGCCCCGCGCGCAGAGTGTCGACGTGGCCTTCCAGGGCCCCTCTGCGTCCTCGCGCGATTCACTCTTTCTACGGGCTGACTGTGCTGAACAGATCCAGGCGTCGCGTGTCTGTGGGTGGGAGGTCGCCCCTCGCCTCCCTGGGGGGGAACCCTGGCGGTCGTGATCCCGCCCCCTCCTCCGACCAAGACGGTCCAAGAGAGTGGGGAAGAGCAACCGAGTCGAAGGGGAAGCCCGTGGTCCCCTCCCCGCCGTGGGGAGCGGTCCCTTCCCCCGCCGTGGGGAGCGGTCCCGGGAGGGGATCCCTTGGGGGGGTGTCCCGGGGAGGGTCCCGAGGCCAACAGGGCGCAGCCCACACGGCGTGGCCGGAGGACGCGGGGGGGCGGCCTGCAGCCGTGCCCCCCCCCCAAGGGCGTGGCCGGCGCAGGAGACGGAAGCCGTGCGGCCGTGCCCCCCCCCCAGAGCGCGGCTGACGCATAGGAGCAGCCACGCGGCGTGAAAACGACCACAGCCACTGCTTTTGTTTTGTTGCCGCCCTCCAGCCCGCAGAAACAGAGCAGTGGTGGTGGTCATTTTCCTTGAGCTTGGCATGCACCAGGGAGATGACCACAACCACTGCTTCTCTTTCGGCCGGCTGGAAGGCGGCGCAAACGAGAAGCAGTGGCTGTGGTCATTTTCCCGTCCCGCACACACGCCCCCAAGATGACCAAAGAGGGCAAGCATACAGTCGAGGCGTTGACCTAAGGAACCCTAGATAAGGAACGAGGCCCCTGTTTTCCATAAGTTGAACTTCGATTTCGCATTCGTATCGAAAACCTGAGGACAATCCAGAAAGGGCAGCACAGTCGAAACCGACAGTGAGGATGACCGGCTCCCCCAGGGCAGCGTAAGCTTGCATCCTTTCCCTTCTCGGCCCAGCCTCGGGCACTCCCGATGTCGCAGGCCTAGAGGTTGACACCAACACCAATTTCGGCGGTGTGCCTCCATCGAGGGGAGAAGATCCCGATCTCGGTGATGGTGGTAATATTCTGGCTTCCGAGGTGGCCGAAATATTACCACCAACACCGATATCTAGGATCACCTTCCCCCTGTGGAGGCAACCCTCTGTGTTGGTGTTGGTGCCCATTTCCAGGCCTCCAAGATGGCCGCGCCCCGCTCGAGCAGCGCCCACGTGGCCTTCGGAGGCCCTTTGCATCCTCCTCGCGCAGCCCGTCCGTTGTCTGACAGCCCCAGACATGCAGAGCCCCGATCTCTCCCAATGCGCGTTCCCAGGAAGGGCCCGACCTTTCCCCCAGGGCTGGCTGTTCATGCGGATTCGTTTGAGACGGTCCCGGGGCCCAGCGAGGGCCCCCCGGAGGCCGAACACAATGGCGAGTTTGTCGTCATGACTTTTTCCAACGACGCGAGCATGTCTGGGGTGCCGGAAAGGGCAGTAGGGGGCCTGGCCCCACCTTGAGAGGGCACATTTCGACGCCTCCGATTCGATTCGATTCGATTCTATTTTCGATTGCTTCCGATTCCGATTCGACTTCGGATTCCGATTTGGATTCCGATTTCCCAGTGGAGGCCTACTAGCCTGCCGATTTCTGCTGGTTCGACTTCTCCCGATTCGGCTGCCTATTTCCGCCGATCCGCTTCGTTTCGATCGCCGCTTCGACTTATCGATCCAGTTCTGGGCTCTCCTGGAGTCGGCATCGGCGTCGGCATCGGTGCATCGGCGTCGGCGTCTGCGTCGGTGGTGGCGTTGGGCGCGGGTATCGGTGCATCGGCGTCGGCATCGGCGTCGCCGCCGGGCAGGAGGAGGGAGGGAGTTGCGAGATTTCTGGAGCCTGGTTGAGGTTCCGTCCCACGCACGCCCACGCCGACGCCGACGACCACGACGACGACGACGACGACGACGACGACGACGACGACGGTGGCGATGACGACGAGGACGAGGACGAGGACAAGACGACGACGACGAGACGACGACGATGATGACGACGACGACGACGACGACGAGACGACGACGACGACGACGACGACGACGACGACGACGACGACGAGGACAATGCTGGGCCCGCCCGCCTCCACGCGCGTGGCCCGGGCGGTTGCTGCCACGGGGCCGGGCCCCCCTCGCCTCGGAGAGAGCTCCCCCGGGGGGGCGGGAGGCCCGGGGCTCGCGCCCCAGCCCCCGACCGCTGCAGCCCCCGAAGCACGGCCCAGCCTTGCGTTGTGTCTTCGAGTGCAGCCTCACGCTGCAGGGAGTGTGTGGTGCTGCTCCGCGCTCTGCTCCTCCTCCTCCTCCTCCTCCTCGCCCTCCTCCTCCTCCTCCTCCTCCTCCTCCTCCTCCGCCTCCTCCTCCTCCTCCCGCTCCTCCCGCTCCTCCTCCTCCTCCGCCTCCTCCTCCCGCTTCTCCTCATCCTTCTCCACCTCCTCCTCCTCCTCCGCCTCCTCCTCCTTCTCCTCCTCATCCGCCTCCTCCTCCTCCTCCTCGTCCTCCTAAGTCGGGCACGTCCCTCTACAGGAGGAGTAATTATTCGAAAATAGTCAAAACAGATTCAGGGGACGATTTTCTGACAATTTTTGACTATTTTGGAATCTGTTTCGGGTATTTGTGATTTTTCGTCCCAAATCCGCCTGTAGGGGGACATGCCAGACTTGATCCTACTCCTATTCCTCTCCTCCTCCGGTCCTTTTCCTTAAAAGCAAGTGTTCCGTGTCGCACCCCGAGGCCAGTTTTTATGGCGGTCTGGGCGTTTCGCTTGAGACGTCCTCACCATTTATGATTCTGAAGCTTAGAAGTTGGCAGCAGTTCCACAGATGGAGGGCGGGCCGTTTTCAAAATGTGGCTCTCGCCTTAGCGTGGCGCACATTCGTTTTAACGCATTGCAGGAGTTTCACGGATTGAGGGCCGTACGTTTTCAA